ACTTATTTCACTCAGCATAAAGCTCTCAGGTTCATCCATGTTGTTGAAAACAGCAAGATTGTCTTGTTTCTCATGGCTGAGTTATATTCCATTATAGTCTTTACCAATTCATCCATTCAAGGTCACTTACACTGTTTTCATATCTTACTGTAATATGTACAGTTCATTGCAGCTACTGTAATAATGCTGCAATGAACATGGAAGTACAGATATCTCTCCAAGATCCTGTCTTCATTTTCTTTGGATATATACCCTGAAGAGGAATTGCTGGTTCATATAGCAATTCTACTTTTAACTTTTTGAGAACCCTGTTTTCCATACTGTTTTCCATAATGGCTGTACCAATTTACATTCCCACCAACAGTACACAGGGTTCCCTTTTCTTCACATCCTCATCAATATTTGCTATCTCTTGTCTTTTTTATAATAACAATCTTAACAGGTGTGATGCAATATGTCCTTGTTTTAATTAGCATTTCCATGATTATTAGTGGTTGAGCATTTTTTTAGTGTACCTGTTGGCCATTTGTATGTCTTTGGAAAAATATCTATTCGGATCCTCTGCCATGTTATAATCAAATTGTTTGGGTTTTTGCTATTGAGTTATATGAGTTTCTTATATATTTTGGATATTAATTCCTTATCAGGTAAATGATTTGCAAATATTTTCTCCCATTCTGTGGATTTCCATTACATTTTGTCGATTGTTTCTTTTGTTGTGCAGAAGCTGTTTTAGTTTGATGTTGTCCCACTTGTTTATTTTTGCTTTTGTTGCTTCTGCTTTTGCTGTCATATCCAAGAAATCATTGCCAAGACCAATGTCAAGGAGCTTTTCCCTATGTTTTCTTCTAGGAGTTTAAGTCTTTAGTCCATCTCAAGTTAATTTTTGTGAGTGGCATAAGATTGTGGTCCAATTTCATTCTTCTGCAAATTAATGGTTTGCAACTAAAGAAATGGGTAGAGATCAATTCATAGCCATGACAGTATCTATCAAAAGTTAGGGTGAGGCCGGCCGAGTGTTGCGATGGTTAGGAGCTGGCTTGGGACGCCAGAGGGCCCCGGTTCGGATCCCACATGTGAGGGCCAGTGACACTGCCCTCCACAGCTAAGATGCTGAACAACAGCTCAACCTGGAGCTGGGCTGCTGTGAGTTGCCGGCGACGGCGTAGGCTGCGGCCACTGTGGCAGTGGGTTGCCATGGGCTACCGTATGTGGCCAGCAGCCAGTGTGAGTGGCCGTCCAGAGGCCGGCGACTGATGTGCCTCGCCCGGGAAGAACGCAATGATGGTGCCAACTTGGGCCAGTGAAGCAACGTCCTCCACAACTAGACTGAAGAACAAAAGGACAACCACTTGTCTCTTCCCCTTCCCCCAATTCCCCAGCACTGTTCCCATCCCCCCAATTCCCCAATAAAAAAATCTTTAAAAAAAAAAAAGTCAGGGTGATTTTACTCACATTGAGTTACACTTATGCGTGGTTCTATTAAGTATTATGGAAACCTTCCACGTTTCACTCCAATTTCCTGTTTGAAATGTGCCTCACTCACTAAAATGTAAAGGACTTGAGATCCAAAATTTTTCTTTTCATATTTGTTTTCTAATACATAACACAGTTACTAACACATAGTTGATACTAAATTTGTATTTGTTCACTGAATAATAATATTCAAAGAAAAACTAGATACTCTAAAAAACAACAAAGTCTGGCAAATAATTCATGATAATAAGTGTATTATCAATATGCAGGAAAACTCTGAATAGGAAGCAATACCATTACATTGATCTAACCAGATCTAACTTGTCTCCCTTTAAAGTCACTAAATGGTGAGCTGTTCCTCTGGTGCAGAAGAAAAGGTACCAAGTGACTGACCAGTGTTCAAAACAACTCTTTCTCACTTGGGGTTCTTTTATCGATTTCAAGAAAATGTTTCCACTTCGATACTTGCCTATACATCCCTTAGTGTAAGCAATGCCCCTTCTACTCCTAGTTGCTTGTGACTCCTTCCTCCACCTCTGAGCACCAGGGAGTCTGTCCACACCCTACTCATGGTTCCATAGCCCATCTATGAACCCATTCACCCTCCAGAATAAAATCCAAAATTTAACTCCCAAGTCAAGGCACCATTGATTACCACCAACATTGGTGGAAAGGTTGTAATTTGCCAATACTACCATCCTTCTTCAATTCCAATGCCAGGTACGCTGGTCCACAAACCTCCCTTCTTTTGACCTTTCAGGCATGAGTCAGTCGCCAGTCCACTGGGGCCCGTAACCTCCAGGGAACACATATTAAGGCTCCAAGGAGTGTCCTTAAATTACCTCTCACTAGACATAACCATCCTCTCCCCTTCCCCATGGGGAATGTAGTGGGAAAATGCCAGAGCTCTCCAACACATTTTTTCTCACTCAGGTTATTCAAACTCAATCATATTTTACCTTCAAAGTGGGGATTCATTAAAGATCACAACTCCGGTTCCCAATTTCCTCCTTCACAACCCTGCACAGGTGGTCTAGCACCTCCTTTTAGAAAGTAGGTGTAGCATCTATTATGTTGTGGTTAGGTTTTTGCAACCTCTACTGAAGCTAAGAGAGAATCCAATTTTAACTGTTAACAGAAGTGTAAATTCTATAAAACCCCAGTATAAACTGAGTAACAGAAGGCTCTCCTCTATAATTAAATAGCAGATGATTTCAGAAAACTTAAGATCCCTTTCTTTAACTCAAGATGAGAATTCTGTTTCTATGAGGACATGAGACCCTGCCATGAACAGTCAGCACAAGGGCTCCATCTGATCATCTGGAAAGAGGAAATTATACTAAAATGATAGTGGGGTAAGGGAAGGAAAGGGGATCACTTGAGCAGAAGGTAATTTCCTGCTGGGCTGAGAAGGAAGCAACAAATACGGCATATAAGCAACAAGAGCCCAACACACAAGCAGCACTTCTACACACAAAGTGGCCTCTAATGATGCCCAAAACAGTGGAAGGGGATTTATGGCTGGATTTGGGGTGACAGAAAGCAAAATAGACTTGGAGAAGTATGTGCACAATAACCCTAAAGAAATGAGTCTGAACAACAGATGTTCTTCTGCACAATAAATAAGGAAATTGAACTTTACACGATCTCTAACATACAACTACACCCACTGGGATAAACAAGACCCCTGATTTTCCTGAAATACTCATCTGAGCCTGGAAATGTGTTCATTAATGAAAACTTTTCACACTTCCTAGGGAGTATTCAGGGTTTGGTTTTTTGGGAAAACGCATTTCTATGTGGTAAGGGTCTAAATTTCCAAGTTTTGCACAGAAGGAAAGGACATTTAACTTTATTTTTCCTATTTCTGATTGATATTTTTAGCCTGTCAATTTACAAGGAGCTATTTGTTTTCAGTAGAATACACATCTGTTCCCCCATTGCTTTGTGTTTCAAGAAGAGACAAAAGTCTTACTAAATTTGAATGTGGGTCCTTCATCAAAGAATCAAATAAGCTATAAAAAATATGAGAGATGCAACCCAATTCCCATTACAGTAATACCTTGGTTTGTGAACATAATTTGTTCCGGAAACAAACTACTCGTATTAGAAGACATCGCTAGTTTATTAAGTTAAAATGTATTAGAAATGTTTTCTCATCTTGCAGAACACTTGCAAACCAAGTTACTCACAATCCAAGGTTTTACTGTACTTTGTAATCACATCATCACACCATCATTTTGTAAGTCACAGGGCAAGTGACACATCTGGGTATATATTTGTTTGCAAAGTATTTTCTGAAAAGAGAGGCATGCTTCAAACAGAGACTCCATCTTCACGTGTTTCCATGATGGCAGCAGCAAGGGAAAGGAAGATGGAAAGTTACTCACTGGCTCTGAAAAAGTGTGCCTACAAGTTACAAGTGTCACATCACATTTCATTGGCCAAAACAAGTCACATGGCTATGCCAACATCAAAGACAGTGGGAAAGTTCAGTTCTACCATGTGCCCTTCTTTGTGGAATGAAGGGGATGTTTAATTTCACCTTATTTATTCCCTTGTGTGGTAGTAAATGCTACTAGCAGAGGACTTAAAGCTTTTTCCAGCCTTGAGCCAATGGTCTCTCCTTATCTAAAGTCCTCCACTCATTCTCTTAAGCCCAATCTAAAGCCACTCACCAAAACATTTTCCTTGTTGGGCTGGCCGAGTGGCTCAGTTAGTTAAGAGTTGGATTAAGAGCATGAGCTCTGAGCAACAGGGCCACCAGTTTGATTCCCACATGGGTCAGTGACACTGCGCCTGAGTAGGATGGCTCAGCTGGTATAACAACAAGATTGCCTGTTCGATGGTGGGCTACACCCACCTGTAACTAAGACTGAACTTGGCACCTTGAGCTGAGCAGCCGCCCGGATGGCTCAGTGGATAGAGCATGCACTCTAAACAACAAGGCTGCTGCTTCAACTCCTGCATGGGATGGTGGCTACGCCCACCCACAACTAAGATTGCACACAGCACCTTGATCTTAGAGGCCACAAACTGCTGACAGGAAGCCAGATGGCTACTGGCACCCTCCACAACGAAGATTGATGAACAACAACTTCGCTGGTCCCCTTCCCCAATTCCCCAACACTGTTCCCCTCCCCAAATTCCCCAATAAAATCTTTAAAAAACAAAATCTTCCTTGCTACACTCAACACAAAGTGATTTCTAAAGCCTCTAAAGTCCTACCCAGTGTATGAGCTGTGGGTACTTTGATCAGGCAGTTTCTGGAGACTACCTCATTTGGGCGTGTTTGTACCATTGCCCAATTAAACAACAGGCTCCTTGAGCACAAGATGCCTTCTCATGCCTGAGAAAGCCATCCAGGGAACAGAGACAGTAAGTCATAGTATGAGATGCCCATGAGAGGTATAGCTCCTTGGTTTGCAGCAAACCATAGGCTTTAGACCAAAGTTTCAATCAAGTATGTTATGCATAAAATGAATAGTCATCAAGACCAGAGAGGCTGGAGTTCCTTTCAAGCCAGGCGTTTGGGTGGCAGGTCCCCACGCGCCTTCAACATGCGTATCGAGAAGTGTTATTTCTGTTCGGGGCCCATATACCCCGGCCACGGCATGATGTTCGTCCGCAACGATTGCAAGGTGTTCAGATTCTGTAAATCCAAGTGTCATAAAAACTTTAAAAAGAAGCGCAACCCTCGCAAGGTCAGGTGGACTAAAGCATTCCGTAAAGCAGCTGGTAAAGAGCTTACAGTGGATAATTCATTTGAATTTGAAAAACGTAGAAATGAACCTGTCAAGTACCAGCGAGAGTTGTGGAATAAAACTATTGATGCAATGAGGAGAGTTGAAGAGATCAAACAGAAGCGACAAGCTAAATTTATAATGAACAGGTTAAAGAAAAATAAAGAACTACAGAAAGTTCAGGACATTAAAGAAGTCAAACAAAACATTCATCTCATCCGGGCCCCTGTTGCATGCCAAGGAAAGCAGCTGGAAGACAAAATGGTACAGAAATTACAACAGGATGTGGACATGGAAGTTGTTTCTGAAAATCTTTAACTGTCTGTAACCATTCTTATGAGTGCATTGGAAAATCTCCTTTAGAGACTTAGAACATTTGAATTTGATTTTTTTACATAAGGTGACTCAAATGAAAAGGTGACTAAAACACATCTCTTCTACGTTGCTATCTGCAAAACATCAGATATTATGGATGCTGGGTTGCATCTCAGTGCTTCACTGATAGATGTACTTTTGTAAATCATGAAAATTCTGCAAACAGGTGAATTGTGGACATAAAATGGCCATGCCACTTGGATAATGGCACTAGGCAGTATGTATGTAATACTAATGACAAAAACTCATGGCTAGCAATATGTAAAATAAAATTTTCTTTGCAGTAAAAAAAAAAAAAAAAGACCAGAGAGGCTGCAGTTGTCTTCAAGAATGCATTTAGACTGAGCTTCAGGACCACGTGGACTAAATTACAGCCCCTTCACTCTGAAAACAAATAATTCCCTACCATATCTTTGACTCAGCTTGAGACGAACCTGGTGAAGTTGGGTTTCCTAAAAGCAGAGACTAAGACAAGGATTTGTGTCCAAGTGGTTTATGGAGGGAGGGCTCTCTCAGGTGAATCTATAAGGGTGTAAGAGGGCAATAGAGATGAGGCAGAAACTAAGCAAGAATGAGACTTTCAGTGAAGTCTAGCCCGAACTCAATCCCACAGGGAGCTTTGGAATATAAATTGTACTTTGAGGTCTATCCTGCCTTGAGACAAGAGAGGGGTTTTGTAAGCTCCTGCCCCAGTCCCGCCATCATTACTACAAGATACGCCAGCATAATGGAAGGGGGAAAACTCCAAGATATCTCATCTCCAAGTGAGGTGGCTCCCGTCATGCAAGAGCCGTCCTCGGGAGAAGACTGCTACCGTGAGTCATGAGCAGCAGCACCTTCAGCAACTGGAAATTGGCAAACTAAACTGGGAAAACGGAGCCTAGGGAATCTAGTGAGGATCCCATCCTTGTCTGCTTTGTCCTAAAAACCAGGCTTCACAAAGAGGCCTTAACATTATCCGTCACCTCCAGAGGTACACAAGGCTGAGTAAGTTAGCCAACTGCGGGTTAAGTGTGCAACAGCTTCACTCTCCTATACAGACAGCCTCAGTAATTAGCCTCATTAATAAGAGTTACTAAATTGCAATCACTGTATCTGATGAACTCTCCTCTCTGATGTTCCTCATATCCACATAACTACACCTGGGTAAGGTCATTCTGATCCTGATAGTCCATCCTAATTGCAAGGATGACAGCAGGAAGCTTTTGATGGGAAATTCAGTGAAAAGTGGGATGAAGTTTGTCTTTGGGTGGCCACAAAGGGTTAGCTTCCATTGCAGGGCTGTGCTGAAGTATGATATTTTGAGAGAATGCCCTGAATTGATACCTCAAAGGGCTTCTTTCGAAGGGATGATTTATACATCACAAGACAAAGAGGATTTATATTAAAGAAAATGGATTCCTTTTCTGAACTGTTTTGAGGAAGATGGATAGCTTCCTGTAAACTGAAGTTTCGTGTCTGTGAGCTGAGTGTTTCCAGAAAATTACTAAGGTAATGCTGCCTCTGGGACCCACTCCATTGTCCCTGCCATCACCCACACTGTGTGTGTGTGTGTGTGTGTGTGTGTGTGTGTGTGTGTAAAAGAGTCTACAGAAACAGTTACCTAACCAGACTGCCTTCTACTAGGCACCCCTCCAGAGAAAAATCAATATTATCCAAACTATATATGCAGTTAATGATAAAAATGATGAAGGAAATTTTTAGCTCAGTGAGGAGGGGGAGGAGGAGGGGTTATTTACATATTGCCCACCCAATTCCTCCTGCAAAAGCACTGCTCTTGTCTACAAAGAAGCTCATTGTAAGGGTCATTCTCCATATTTTAAATATCTCTAATGGATTCCCACATAATCTTTATACAGCTCTCATGTACATGTGATGAAGAAAATTCAACAGAGTGCAAGATTTGTCAATCATGAGTAAAGTAAAGGTTTATCGTTGTTTACAGGGCCTCACATCCCTGACTACAGGGTGGCTGGAGGCATCAGAGAAGAGACAAATGGGATCCTAGAGTGAATGAAAAAGTTTCCTTGAGAAATAAGCACAGCTTCCTTTGAGCAATCTAGAAAGCTCTCTGAGGGGTCCACAAGCCATGGCATCGGCCTTGAGAAACCAAGAACCACAACTCTCTTTCACTGAGAAACCAACTACTGAGCCCTCAATTTCATTTAATCCTTACAGTGATTCTTCTTTTTTTTTAACTTTATTGGGGAACAGTGTGTTTTTCCCAGGACCCATCAGCTCCAAGTCAAGTTGTTGTCCTTCAGTCTTAGTTGTGGAGGGAGCAACTCAGCTCCAAGTCCAGTCTTCATTTTCAATCTAGCTGCAGGAGGTGCAGCCCACCATCCCATGCGGGAGTTGAACCAACAACTTTGTTGTTCAGAGCACGCGCTCTCGCCAGCTGGACCACCCGGCTGGCCCTTACAGTGATTCTCACCCAGTGCTGTGCTGATCAGCCAAGTCAGGAGAGGGGAAAAACGCTCTGATTTGTAGTGTTTTCTGACTTCTGTAGTATAAATATTCCAATTATGACTAATTACAAGGTACTAACGTGTTGTCACCAAACAAGTTTCTCTCAAGCCAGAATAAGCTGGCTGTAGATGAACACAGTCAGAGGCACAGAAAGATGGAAGGTCAAGCCGACAAACTGTGTGGAAACATATGTTCCTGCCTTTGCAGCTTCCACCCACAGATAGGCAGATCACCAAAAGGAAACACTTTCAAGTCACTTGTCTGAGTGCAGAAAAGCTGCATCACTGCCCACCTGAAGCTTTGTAAAATACATTGAATCGCTAAGCCCATCTTTGTTCAACATAGGGAAAAATCTCCTTATCTGGGGCCATGTGTCCTTCAGTTTTGTGTAATTCACATGCTTTGCCCATAGTGATCACTCATTGATGGTTACTGAGAGAATGGTTTAGTGACCCTTTGTTCTGATGCCTTACAAAGGCTGATCACCCTTCCAGCTTCCACAAACCAGATGATTTTTTTCCTCAAAGTTATATGAGAAATTAAAGACCCTGAAATTTGGATGAACACTAAACCCCCAAACTCCAATGAACACAACCCTCTTTCCAGTATCTTTTTTTCAGCTCCTCTAAGTGGCTACCCAAGTCTCCATTTGAATACATGTATATCCAATGACAAGGAATTCACCAACTAAAATCATTGCAACTCACAGCCATTGTAACTCAAAGCTATGGACTGCAACGTGCCAAGAGCTCAAACAATAAAGATATAATCACCAATGACACATACAAGAACAAATACCTATCAATATGCTTTTGTAGGCTCATTCCTCCCATCAGTTACAACAACATCACTGCCACTCATATTGAGACATGAGCCTTTATGCTACAGGGGATAAGGGGAATGGAAAATGAACTAAAAAAAAGATGATGAGATGCCCTGGGTAAAATGTGTTCCCTAATACATAAAAGTCACCTGTGTTTTTATACACTAACAATGAACAAACAGAAATTAAGAAAATAATTTCATTTATAACAGCCTCAAAAAGAATGAAATACTTAGGAATAAATTTAACCAAGGAGGCAAAATATTTGTACACTTGAAAATACAAAATATTGCTGGAAGAAATTAAAGAAGACATAAATAAATGGGAAAATATCCCATAATCATGAATCAGAAGATTGCATATTAAGATGTCAATACTACCCAAAGCAACCTATAGATTCAATGCAGTCCCCATCAAAATACCAACATTTTTTGCAGAAACAGAAAAACCCATCCTAAAATTCAAATGGAATTTCAAAGGAACCTGAATAGCCAAAACGATCTTGAAAAAGAAGAACAGCAAGATAAATGAGCTCTAAATATCTGCTATACAATATTGTGCCTATGGTAATAATAATATATTGAACACTTAAAAACTTGTTAAGAGAGTGGCTCTCATGTTAAATGTTTTTTCCACAGCAAGAAAGGAGGAGGAGGAGGGGGAGGAGGAGGGGGAGAAAGAAGAGCAACCACAGCAACAAAGTTGGAGGTCTCTCACTTCCTAATCTCAAAACATACTACAAAGCTACGGTAATCAAAATGATGTGGTCCTGACAAAGGCAGACATAAATAGACGAACGGAATAGAGAACAAAAATAAACCCTCAAGTATCTATTCAAATGATTTTTGACAAGGGTGCCAACATCATTTAATGGGGAATGGACAGTCTTTTCCACAAATGGTGCTAGGAAAACTAAATATCCATATGCAAAAGAATGAAATGGACCCTTACTTTATACCATGTACAGATTAGCTCAAAATTGATCAAAGACCTAAAAGTATATGGCTAAAACTATAAAACTCTTAGAAGAAAACATAGGGGAAAATCTTCATGACATGGAATTTGGCAATGATTTCTTGGATATGACACCAAAAGCAAAGACAACAACAACAAAAAATAGGTAAGTTGTACTTCATCAAACTTTAAAAAAATTATGCATTAATGGGCACTATCAACAGAGTAAAAAGGCAACTCACTGAATGTGAGAAAATTCTTACAAATCATATATCCAATAAGGGCTTAACATCCAAATTATATAAAGAACTTCTACAACTAAACTACAATGACAAAGAGGGTTTAAGGGTAAAGGGATTATATAGATATTTCTCCAAATAAGATGTACAAATGTACAAGATAGACAAAAACATCACAAAGTTAATATGCCTCCCTAAATTTCCGTAAGCGCCAATCACACGTGAAGTACTCAACAAAGATTACATCCCCCATCACTGGTATAACTCTCCATTCTGTTTTATGATAGAGAATAAGACAATTGTTTTCCATTTAACTCATTTATGTCTGTCACACCTATTTACATCAAAATACAGTGATATTCTATAAAAATTACTTTTGAAAATTCATCAGTCACCATTTTGTTTGAAAACTGCAGTCTGAGTTCTAAATGTGCCATCCAAGAACTCTATAAATCTTTCTGTGGGCTTCCTAGTAAGACCAGTAGAATCTTTGAGTGTTTCCCAGAAAAAGGGAACAAGGAATACATTATCATGTCATCACAGGAGTGAAGTTAAAAGATAAAGTTTTCTCACACAAGAGCTATTTTAAGCAGAAAACAATACATTTGGGGTTAAACCAAAAAGGGAATGTTTTCTTTTTAGTTTGTAATAATCCCAAAGTAATTTTTTTGGGTTGTTCTTTTTCAGTATCATGATCCTTTATTATATTCAAATTGTTGGAATAGCCACCTACAAGCATGTTCACAGCAATTCTAGGAAAATCTAGTCTAACTAAAGAAACTTAAAAAAAAAAACCATTCCTA